TGAAAACGTCAAACCCGACATAATGACCGCCACCTAATGTACGGCGGATTTCCAGGGCGCAGATTTTATTTACTGAATGCAATGAAGCGTCGTACCTCGGCGGAAGCCGGGGCAGATTAATGGACGGCATCACGTCTAACCCGTTCGCGGTGGCTGCTGGGTGCCACTGATACCGTTCACACGGGTCAGCTGTGGCCCGATGGCCGGTCTCCGGGGGCCGGTAGGCGGCCGTGGTGGTCGCACAGAGCTGAGGTGTCTGTCGGTCACCGCCGCGCCGGCCGGACGCGCTGTTTATGTGGTCCAGCAGCGCCGCCCTCTGTTATGATAGAGCTCACTCTGCAGACGAGCAGGGCCGGTTTCCAGCCGTTGGCGGAATCTGTGTCCGATGTCCTCTGACCTGCCGGTCCGCCCGCTCGGTCGGTCGCTTGGTTCGTCCGCCGGCAGTTTTTGCCAAGTTTGTAGCTGCTATGCTCGGCGCTGTGGCATTACTTCTATTGATTGCTAGATCACTGGTATTGCTTTTGCTGCATCGCGTTTCACTTCAGAGGCGCAATTGCCACTGCAGAATTTAAACGGTCGTTTGCTCAACAACGCTGCATTCGCCGCCAGCCTTTGACACGGCCCATTTGTTGATCGTCGGGCGGTTGCCGCCGATCATTCTGCGACCATCGTCGGCTTATCGCCGCTGCCGGTCAGAGATGTTTTGAGACTAGTCTGGCTGGGTCTGGAGCGGTGTGATGTTATTGACAGTGATTTGAGACTCGCGCGGTGGCTGACGCCCAGCTGGCGCCGCCCCCGCCCCCGCCCGCCGCTCTCTGACTCGCCGGCTGTTTTTCTGCGCGGCCGCTGCTCGCTGATTTGCGTCTGGAGGCATTGAGTGACTAGTCTAATACTGGGATGGATTGGCGTGCGTCGGCGGACGCCGCCGGGTCGCTTTGGGTCGACTGGGGGTGCTGGAAGGGGGATGAGGCTGGTTCCTTGGAATGATCTGTGACTCGTGAGTGATCTTGGGGACGAGTGCCTTACACGCTACGAGTACCCAGTTATTTTGTATTCTTTTAACACCTATGAATATTGGGGATGCTACCAAGCTAGGTCATAGTTAAAGTTATATACCCAGGAAATGGTTGTAAACTCGAATGGTATGAAGCATCTACTTCGCTTTGCAGTCAATCAGTCCCGGCAATAACCCGGAATTATTAGTTTTACGTAACACGACACATTTCTGGAAACTCATCTTTTCCCCTGACGTTAGGTCAAGCCTAAGCAACATGTGCTTACAAATCCCCGTATTTCATGTCCCGGTATTGTTATCTAGTCTCGCGTCATGGTTCCGTGATCTCTGTGTTGTCGCAGTGTTATCCTCTTGTCTCGTTTCCCAGGACTGCCCTCTAGGCTCTAGTATCATATTACGGTTCCGTGCTCTCTTGTCTCGTGTCGCAGCTCTGGTCTTCTGTCTCGTGTCGCAGCCCTGTCCTCTCGTCTGGTGTCACAGCTCTGTCCTCTCGTCTGGTGTCGCATCTCTGTCCTCTCGTCTCGTGTGTCGCAGCTCTGTCTTCTCGTCTGGTGTCACAGCTTTGTCCTCTCGTCTCGTGTCGCAGCTCTGTCCTCTCGTCTCGTGTCGCAGCTCTGTCTTCTCGTCTGGTGTCGCAGTGCCGTCCTCTCGTCTGGTGTCACAGATTTGTCCTCTCGTCTCGTGTCACAGATTTGTCCTCTTTGTCTCGTGTCCCACGTCAATCCTCCCATCTCGTGCTCAATGTCCGGGTCCATCGGCTGCTCGGCCGGCCTCTGACGCAGTACCGGCTTCATTAGCTGCCGGCGGCGCATCGATTTCGGCATTAACTAACCGGCGACGGAGGCTGCAGGCTCGCATGCCGGCCGCCATCAGAGAGCTGCTCCGTCCGCCCCTCACCCCTGCCCCCGGTCCGGGATCGAGGCCGAGTGGGTAGCGGCCGCTCCCCGGCCAGGGACGGGACGGTCTCAGATCATCCCGGCCCCGTTCGGCGAGTCAGCGAGCGGCCGAGCCGGCCGGGGCCGAGGTAAGAGCCGCCGCGAATATCGAGTGCTGCTCTCAGCTTTCTGCGGAGCTGGCCTCCCCGGCGGGTCGCTCCGTCTGAAGGGAGGACCGCAGTGCTGACGCCGGGTCTCGTGGTGAGAGCCGCGGCCCGTTTTTGGCTGACTGGGTCGGCGGATCGTTCAGCCCGGCCATACCCGATATGGTGGTCACTGGTGACTATAGGACGGAGGAGAGGACAGGACCGGTTTGACTCGGGGGTCGGTGCGTCTGGCTGTCACAACTCATAGGTCCGATGTGTGTGACTGGAATGATGGGATTGTGGCAGGTCTCCTGGATCTGTGACGGCCATTACGCCGTCGGCAGACCGTGTCTGGATGCCGGACGGAATGTCTGTATCGGATGCCGGCTGGAGAGAGTTTGGATGCCGAGCATAGACTGCCGGTCAGTTAGTGCTGTGATGGACGCTCGGTAGGGTCCACACAGATGGCTCGGCACTGCTCTCCAAATAAGCAGCTGCCGGAACTACCGGTCAGCCGCCGCGGCGCCCGCTGTGATATAGTTCGGACGACCTCTCCGGCACGCCTCCTGCAAATAAACCCCGCGCCACGGCCGGCTCCACGTGGTCCCGCCGGCCGGCCGGCGCTCTTGTTGCGTTCCGCAGCGGTCGGCGGCGCGGCGGCGACCTTGTAAACCGGCGGCGGCGGCGGCGGCGGCGGCGGTGGGCGGGCAGTGAGGTAGGTCGGCGGACCGGTACCGGTATATCGACCGGCGGCCAGCCGTCTCCGCCTGTCCGTCCGTTCGGACCCCGAGGGAACGCACTGTTCGTGAGCCGCGCTGTCTCCAGTCGGGTCTGGCGTGCGGCCCGGCCGCTGACGGTGCCGCTGAGTAGCTTCTGCCGTGAGCCGGTCCGGACGGCCGGGCAGCCCGCCGGATGTGCCGGGCCCATCAGCGGCCGGCTGGGCTGTAGTCTCAGCTGTAGAGAAGCTTGGCTGATAATGAGCTGGCTGTCATTGAGCTGACCTGCCGAGCTGAGCCGCTGCTGAGTTGGCGCTTCTGAGTTGGGCTGAGTCGTGTCCCTGCTGATGTGAACTGAGTCTCCGCGCTGCCGAGCTGTGCCGCTGCTGAGTTGGCGCTGCTGAGCTGAACCGCTTGCTAAATTGGGCTGAGCTGACTAACGTTGAGTTGCCGCTGAGTGGTGTCTCTCCGAGCTGAGCTGAGTCTCTGCGCTGCCGTGCTGAGCTAGGTCACCGCAGAGCAGCCAGCTGGGGCGCGTGACTCACCGAGTCAACACATCCGTCTGCCGTCGGGACCATCAGTCGTGTGGTGTGGGTGGGTGTCGGTGTCGGTGTTGGCACCGCGTCCCTGTCGCCTCGATCCGCCCCCGCCCTGCCCCGGATCGGCCGACTGGGAGACAGATCGGTCCGACCCGGCTCGGTCCTAGCCCGCCCCAGTTCGCTGGACCAGACTATAGATCGGTCCGACCCGGCTCGGTCCGCCGGGGTCCGTCCTGGCCCGCCTCAGTTCGATGGGCCGACTGGCGTATAGATTGGTCCGACCCTGCGCGGTCTGTCCTGGTCCGTCGTGGCCCGTCCTGATCCGCTCCAGTTTACTGGACCGACTGGCGGACAGATCAGTCCAACGCGGCTCGGTCCGCCGTGGTCCGTCCTGGTTCGTCCCAGTTCACTGGATCGGCTAGCTGACGAATTGGTCCATCCCACCCTGTCCCCGGTCCGTCTCTAGGGACAGGTCGCCCACCGTGGGTGATCTGTATCAGCAGTCGGTAACTAGGTAACGTGCCAGACACCCTCCGGCCCCACCTGGCTGTCAGTATCGGTCTGGCCTGACCGCTGCCCGCCCCAGCTCCGTATTGACGCTTGTCAGGGTCAGTGATGTTCCTCGTCCGTCTTGGGTCATCTGTAGAGCAGCGGTGGGAGGGTGTGAGAGGGTTCGATGTTTACGGAGAACCACGTCCAGTCGGTGTTGATTTGTGGGCCCAGACGGGATGATTCGAGTGACGGGTCGTGTCGGGCAGCCGGCCGCCGCAGCCATTGGAAAGTGGCCCGTTAGTAACACGACCGAGTGAAGGTTATACCAGATCCCTGATCCGGCCTTGGTAGTCGGCGGCCGGTTATTCGCCTTGTGAGGCGGGATGTGGTGGTGGGCTGGTGGGGATGTGCGCCGCGTGACTTGTCTGGTAAAGAGGACAACTTTTGCCGTTATCTGTCCAGTGTGCGTCTATGGAGGATGGAATGAGTCAACTTGGTATTTCTTATTTCTTCCAGAGGCCGTCCATAAATTACGCAACGCTGTACGCATGAAGGGGGAGGGAGGGCTTTCGACCGAACGTAACGATAGCGTAACAAGGGGAGGGGGTTTGGGTACACTGTAACGTTACAAAAGCACCATTTAAACTTAGTGATCGACGTAGGCGAATAAATCAATTCCTACACAAATGTACCGGAGAACCGTGAACACCAACATAAAGCCAAGTTTAAATTAGTAGTCACTATCAATTTTACTTAGGCTGCAATACTGGCGTTTCTGCGACGTAACAGACTCAGAACGCAAATAGCGGGACATTATCAATAATTGAGCAAAATGGTCGGTTTACTTTCAATGTAAAAAAAAAATGTTGTGTGGAGCATGATATATCTCATAAAAAGCAAGAACAGTGAAGTTTTTCACGTTACGGTTTTCATTAGCATAACAAGGGGAGGGGTCAAGAATTGGCCCAAAAAAGCGTAACGTAATTTATGGACGGCACCCAGTAGTCTGGTGTCTGACCATGCTCCGTGTCGGTCCGTGTCTGATCATGTATGACCCGTGTCCCGCATCTGTGTCTTACCGTGCCTTGTTTCTGAATGCCTGAATGAATGTTGTTTCTGTGTCTGGCCGCGCCCGTGTCTCCCGTGCCCCGTGAATGACCTTGCCCGTGAGTCTCGTGCTCCGTTTCTGACCTTGCCGTTCCGCCGTCTGCCGTCAGGTGACATGTCTCTGATGGTGGCCAGTAACGGTCTGCTGGGCAGCGCGCCGGGGCCGGCCGCGCCGCCTCCGCCGCCTCCCACTGTCGCCCTGCCGCCCGTCGGCCTGGCGAGGTTGGACGCCAAGCGGCGCGACAGCGGCGACTCCGAGGCGCGCTCCACACACAGCTCCAGCAACAGTACCACGGAGGAGCACGCGCCCAACAAGATCTTCGTGGGCGGCATCAGCTTCCAGACGACGCCGGAGAAACTGCGGGCCTACTTCGCGCCGTACGGTACCATCCTGGATGTGATGGTTCTCAAGGATCCGGCTACAAACGTGAGTGTTGGCGGCGGCGGCTCGGTCTCGCTAGCGACTGGGGTAGATGAGCGGGGTAGAGGCGCGCTACGGCGCGCCGCGCTATGCTAGATGGGGCCGTGGGTAGCGTTGTGGCGGCTGGCGTAGTGGTAGTTGCGCTCTCGGGGGAGCGGCGGCGCGGGCGGGCCTCTCACCGCACGGTCGTGTGTTACAGAGAAATCGCGGCTTCGGCTTCGTCACGTTCGCCGACATCGAGTCGGTGAACAAGGTGCTCAACCAGGAGGAGCACATGCTGGACGGCAAGAAGATCGACCCGAAGCTGGCCACGCCCAAGGGCCAGAAGGCGGCCGGCGAGCTGCTCATCCCGAGGAAGGTGTTTGTCGGCGGAGTCAGCCAGGAGACCAACTCGCAGGAGCTGCTCGAGTACTTCACACAGTTCGGCAAGGTGCTGGAGTGCTCACTACAGATGGACAACAACACCAAGCGGCACCGCGGCTTCGCGTTCGTAACGTACGAGAATGAAGAGAACAGCGCGCGCGTCGTCAAGAAGCACCACCACGTCATCAAGAACAAGACGGTCGAGTGCAAGTACGCGCAGCCGAAGGAGACGATCCAGGCGACGGAGCGGGCCAAGCGGGCGCAGCTGATCTCTGTGATGCAGTCGGCGGCGGCGGCCAGCGGCCCGCTCTCCCCGCTGGCGGCTCAGATGCAGCAGGTGCAGCAGCACTACTCGCGGGTGATGACCGCCGGCGGGCCGGCCTTCTCGGGCCTCTCCAGCTTCCGGTACTCGCCGTACTCTGTGCCGGTGGCGGCGCCGTCCCCCTCGCTGGGCCAGCAGCTGGCCGGCGGCCTGCCGTCCGGCGTGGGCGCCATGGGCGGCCCGGCGGCGCTCTCGGCGGCCGCCCTGCAGCCCACCGCCGCCGCCATGCCCTACCAGTTCGCCAACATCGACGTCTCGGGCCTGCAGGGCCTGGACTGGAGCGCGGCCGCCGCGCCCCTCTACGGCATGTACACAGCCTAGTGGCGCGCCGGAGCGGCGACGTCGCTCACCGACGAGGTGTGTATGCTGGATGTCTTTCATGGTTGTGGTAGACAGGCAGCAGCGTAGAGTAGCCGCGAACGTTTGCTCAGCCGGCGCCCGACTCCAGACGGCCGGACCGTGGCGGACAGAGATTTCGAGACAATAAGCATAAGTTTTCTCAGGGGTTTTAAGTTATTTATTGTCGATCCGTCGCGGTGGTGTGCGCGTACTTCCGACTACCGACAGGCAGGGCCGGGAAGGAAGAAAGGTGTCCGCTCAGATCTCATGTAGAGTCAGGTAGTACAACAAAGCGTCACATCCGCATCTTGCCAAACGGCCATCTCCGATTCCTACGCGCGGTGTCGCCCAGAACAGTGTGTTTAACTGTTGTGCGCCGCTTGCCGAGCTTGAGTGTAGTCACGAGCTGTTCATGTATAGCAGGTCTTCCACTGTCTGGGCGCCTGGCCGCGCTCCGGCGGACCCGTGGACGCCTCTGTTTGTCCCCGGCCGCCGCCGCAGTATTCTTGCGCGAACCCTCGTGTGCACAGCATATCAGTCACTGGACCTCACGTGTTGTAGTAATAACCATGGCAATAAGGGGCGGCGGCGGTGCCTGCCGGCGAGCCGGCCGTACCCTGACGCCGCTCCTGGCCACCCACCCGCGCGGCTCGGCTCGGCGGCCGGGCGGCGGCGGCGGCGGACCGGTCACCACCCACTCTGAGCTGCCGCCGCCGCCCGCCGGCCGCCGCGCCGCGCGCCCTCCGGTGCCAACCAGCACGGCGCGCCCACGTGCAGAGCACAAACTGTCTCAGTGCCAAATACTCCCCTGTCTGCCCATCTCTGTCTAACATGTCGTCATAGCAATAACTCGCAGATAGTCGTTTAGTTTTGTAAATGCGTACTCGGTGTTCGGCCGGCCGTGGCCGCGCCCGATCTCCCTCTGTATTCGAAAGGAATGTGTTTGGGGCGGCAGCGGCGGCCGCGGCGGGTCCGCAGCGGTCGGCCGCGCCCGCCGCTGCCTCCATAGCCGTAGGTCTTTCTTGGCCGTGTCCCCGTTGCGGCCGTGCGAGGGCCTCCCGCGGCCGCCCTCCGTTCAGCAGTCTCTCTGTCTATCTCTCTGAGCCCTCTGTGTAGCCCTCCTATTACTATAGTGGTCAACTTTGTGACTAGTTAGTCGTAGAGGCCGCGCGGCGGGCTGCGCCGACGCCGGCTGTTTTGTATATAACCCTGCGGTCGGGACTCGGCGCGCGGCCGGCCCCGTCGCCGTCGCCGCCGCGGACCTGGCATGGGTCAGTCGTGTCGTGTAGATCGCTATGTAGTTGTTCAGTGGCTGAACTTTCGTTTCTCCTTTTATCCTAGTTTCCAAGCATTGTAGTAGTTCTCGGTGAATAAACGTAGATACGTAGTGAGGCTTGTGGGCTCTTCTCGAGCGGCGGTTAACCAGGGTCGGGGGGCATGGGCGGGCGGCGCCGGCCAGGGCGCCCGCACCCGTCTGCTCGTCAGGTAGCTGGCCGGCGAGTCGGGCCGGCCAGTGTACCGCCTACCGGTAGTGCTTCCAGCTACAGTACCGGCAGTGCCGTGCCTAACAGCCAGCCTAGTGAGCGCTTGGCGGCCGCCCGCCGCCCAGCCAGCATGCTCTCTCTATCTCTGTTTCTGTCTCTCTGTGTCTGTGCGTGCCCATGCTGCCGGCGCCGGGCGGCAGCCGGCGCGGTAGCAGTTCCCACCCGACACTCGCCGCCAACACTGAACACTCCGACACTCAGAGAACTCCTGACACTCACTCAGAGACTCGCTGACACTCAGAGGACCACGCCGGTTCGCTCAGGGACCGGTTATTTTCAGGGATTGGGCGGGGAGCGTTTGTACCGTTTTGTATGCACTGTGTTTGTATGAGGTGTCTATTGGACCGCGGAGCCAGCCGTTGCTGCTCCGTCGCGACGACCATCGAACTAAGTCTGCCTTATTTTCAGTATCTGTGCGCTCACCGGGTGTGCTGAGCCAGCCGGGCCGGTAAGAGGGAGCGACATTCCAGAGGTGCTCTTCTATCTAGTCTAGCCGCGGCAGCTAGAGGTCGATTAGCTCTCTGTAGACGGCAGTTTTTGATGAGATAATCAAAAGTCTGTGTTGGTATGAGGGAGGGCGTGTGTAGGGGTGTCGAGCAGACCAGTATTGGCCTGCGCTGGCGCCCGCAGTCGGTCTCATACTGGACCGATACGGGGGGCAATGGTCCCGTAGGCGACCTCTCAGCTCCGGGGCGCAGCGGCCGCCGACTCAGGGCGGCCATCGCCAGCCGCCCACAAATCACACCGGACAGTCGTGTTGCCATGGCGACGCCGATGATTTATCGCCCCGGGCGCAATTCGGTCGGCCGCCGAACTTGGGTGAGCTGGTGGCCCGCGCGGAGGCGCCGACGCCGCCCCCTAGTGCGGTCGAGGTGGGCGCCTCCGCCGGCGGCGCCGGCACCGATCACCCAGCTTCCAGACAGCTCTGCCTTATCTTTGCAGTGTGTGCGGTGCGTGTGCTGGTATATTCTCTAGGACCGGACGCGGGCTGCGACGCGCCGGGCACGTTCCTAGTCGCGAGCTGCCGGCCGGTCGGAGGGGGGCGGCGGCCGCGGCGCCGCGAGCTGCCGCCCACCCTCGCCGGTCCGGCTGCCAGTAGAAACTCCTGGTTGTGATTTCCTATATAGAGGATCGACATAGGCGTGCAATATGTAGGCGCAACGTCCGGCCTAGCGGACGGTGTCGGTGTGTGCTCCCTAGAGAATAAACGTTGACTAGCGGCGCTGGTTGTATTGTGTAGTCGGGTCCGCGGGTCGGCCCAGTAGTGGGTCGGCCGGCGGGCCCTTTCAGACCGCAGTCTCGGGGCTGGCAGGGTAGGGTAGATCAGGCCGGGCGGGACGGGTTTTTGTCTTAGTAGAGAGCGGCCCTGGCCAGCCGGCCTACATGTGTCCGTCGCTGCTGGGCCGCACCGGGCTGGGCCGTCCGGAGGGAGCGCCACAGGAGTGTACCCGGCGCGGGCCGCGGTGTCCAGCTGGAGCTCTCAGCTGGCGTGGCCACGCGGTGAGACTCGGAATGTGGTCTCTCCTGCAGGTGACCGGCGGCCGGGCGTCGACACCGCCAGTCGTGGCCGTCCATAGGTAGGGCCGACGGTGCCAACTGCCAGTACTCGTCTATAGGTGGGAGCAGTTGTGGGAATATTGAACTGCGACTAGTTTAGCACCTGTAGCGATACCAGCAGAAGAGAGCAGATAGATTCGGCTCAGTTGTACGAGTAGGTACTCAGACAGTGCGCGCAGGACTGTTAGAGGGTCAGACAGATTTTGCCTAAGAAGCATCAAGTATGCTTGGACTGGTAGCTAATTAAGTACTTCACGTTTAGGCCAGAACCACTTATTAGTTTATCATTCTCGAACATTTGAACCCCGTTGTTTTAGGGTTTCCCACCTGTCGAATCGATTTTGGGTGAGACGCCGCCAAGTTTCACTTCCAAGCTTTAGTTTTAGCTCCCATTAGCTTGTTTAATCGGTCGGGCTTCCGTTCATTACTAATATTAGTAACCCGGATAACTTGTCAGCCAGATAGTTACCCAGTAGGGGCTGCAGAGAATCTTCATCGCCAAGTTTTGCGGGACTAGTGTCGGGTCTTATGTAGGCGTTAGTCATTGACAAATATAGGTAGTACGTATATTATATGATGGAATAAGAGTGTTCGTTTTTGCATAGAAGTATAATTGTAAGTGCACGTCCGCAGAGCTCAGTATCCTTCAGGGTTGCATGTGTAAACTATTTCGCAGCTTTTGATATAGTTAAGACGGGGGACGGCAGATAACGTAGCAGGACAGCAAGACGCATTACTGAAGGTATTATGAATTTGGTGTAGCTATAGAAGGAATTCTGAGTTACAGCTTGTGTAACTGCCCAATTTAAGAATGGCGATAGGAGAATGGGAGTACGCCCAATTTTGGCATTTCATTGAAAAAGCTTACAACCAGTCTTTATAGGTACATCAATCTTTGTTTCCTAAATGTTTCAGCTGAAGTATTTTCTGCCGTTTTGGGGTGATTGTCTTTGTTCGCCTTGTTCTGTAACGATTGTTTCGATCAGAGGTATTCCGAGCCGTGCTTCATCGAGCAGATTGCACAGCGCACATTGATCGTATTAACCCCGTGAGCTGTGAACTGCTCACTGTGCGGCGTGCACTCGGCACAGCTTGTGCTGAGTCGTCACCTTAGAAACAAATGTTACTAACTTTAGTTAGAGTTGGCTGTCACCTTCCGTCTCAACGTGTCTGTCTTCTTACCTGATTAGGGCGTATATTTATTGCCTGCAGTTTTATCATAAACTTCCTTTGCCGACTGCTTCACCTCACTTTTCCTAATCTATGCTGTCTTCATCAGCTCATCTGCCCTTACCCGTGCCGTTAGACACAGTACCGTCTGACTATATTTTACCCGTACCGTGAGGCATTATACCGTCCCACTGTACCCGTGCCGTTACATACATACTTCCGTCCGATTGTACCCGTGCATGTGTACGGAGCTGCCGCAGTTGCACCGCTCCCATATCGAGCCGATGTGCCTGACCTACCCCACTGCCGACGTCCGTGGGCGTCCGCGCGCCGTGCGAAACCGGTTTGGTGTGTCACGTGGATGCACCGCCCGGCGCCCACCCCGGCCCGCGCCCGCACCTCGGCCCCGCCGCCCGGCGCCCACTCCGGCCCGCGCCCCGCACCTCGGCCCCGCCGACCGGCACACGGCGGCGGGCTGCGGCGGGCGGCCTGGTGGAGGATAGTTTCTTTTTCACAAATATCTTGTTTTAAGGGCAGTTAACCTAGCTAGCTGGATACGATGACTTCCTGCATTCACAGGTACTTGACCATGTCGGGTCGTGCATGCCTTGAAGTTAGATATGTATATAAACTCCTGTGCCTTATTGAAAGCATCTTATGTAACGATTTTATATTTTTCAATGCTCGATCACAGAAGCTGTTTGATACGATTGAAGAAGTTAGTTATAGGACCTGTTTTTCCCACGTCGAGAACCTTGGAATGCGAGGTTAAACTTTCAACACTTTTTTACATGTAATCAGAATATGTATAGTTTGATTTGAGTAAGTGTACGAGACAAGCGTGCCTCGTTCTCAACTATGTAGTTTTGACTGGCGGACTGGCGTCGGCTAGAGGTGCACGCGGTCGAACATTTTACCCATTTAGTCATTATTCATAGGGAAACGGTCGTGCTCGTAATTATTTAGCTATTCTTAAGTTGTCCGCGTACAATCTTATTTTTGCGACCGCTTGTTCCTCTTCCAGTCAACTGCCGTAGCGTTCCATCCCGCACGTTAAAGCTATTTCATTTTATTCCGACTTATAATTTCCTTCTTCGTACGTGCACTTTTGTCTCACTCGTTTGTCAGGAAACCTCAGTTACCTGGACTATGCACAGGCCTGTTTCTGTATCTTAAGTATAAAATCTTTTAATTATTTATGACCTAGCTGCTCATGCCTATGCAGATATATTCTATTGCATCGTCCCCAAATGTGCTGTATCCATTATAGTCGTCCCCCCCCCCCCCCGGAGACGTGTCCAGGGGGTCATAGGGTCCGTCTGCCATGTAGCGGCTCGGATCATTGCTAGTCCCGCGGGCCGCCCGAGAGATAACTCGGGTCCCTGTGTGCGCTGGGTCCGTTCAGCCATCAGCCGTCCTGCCGACACGTGCTCGGGAACTCCTGGAGTTCGGGAGTTGGCACCGGTGACCGCCTACCGGAACACCTCGGGAGAGAGAGAGAGAGAGAGAGAGAGAGAGAGAGAGAGAGAGAGAGAGAGAGAGAGAGAGAGAGAGAGAGAGAGAGAGAGAGAGAGAGAGAGAGAGGTGATAGTGTCCACCTCGGGAGAGAGTACCGGAGGAGTTGATAAGGTCATCCAGCGCCGGCAGTCCCTCAGGTCAGCCGCCAGTGGAGATCCTGACGCGCGCCGTAATGCAGACCCAAATAGTTTGGGGACGACTGGGACGTGTGTTTTCCAGCGTTGTTTATATTTAATATTGTGTGAGTTGGTCAAGGTGACCATGGATCGCAATTGGATCCGGGGACTCGTGTCAAGAGAGTTCGTCAAGCGGTGTCTGTTCTCAGTGCATCGCGGTGTGTGCACTGTGCTATGTGTTTCTTGATGACGTTTGTAAGGTAGGATAATAGCATTAGTGAGCAACTGGAAATAGATATTTATAGTCGAATAAAAGCATTGTACTCATGTCATATTAAATACAAAAATGATTTGTTCTTATTCGAAATGATACGACGCCGAATGGCTTTAGAAAATGCCAGGGCGTATTATAAGGGATTTTCACTGGGTCGGCAATCACAATTAGGGGCGGCATTTTGCACTCATAGGGGCGGCACTTGGCATCTGAGGGGGGCGGCATACCTACTGATATTTAATGACCAAAAAAGACATGTTCGACGGTTCTTTTATAAATATTTCTAAGTAATGATTTCAGATTCAACCTAAGCTCAGCAGTATTACGTTTATTTTTCCGGGATATAGTATTTCTCTCATCATAATGCGATAAATGAACTATAATTTGACTACAAAAAAAAAATTAACTGAGGTCAAGTTCATGACCTCACCAGAAACAAAACATGTTGCATACCAGTCGATCCGTATCGTCAGCTTAAAATATTCACGGTGTTTTATGGCTCTATCTAGAACAGTGGTCAGCAGGTCGCACGAGTGGTGCCCACTTTATGGGCGCTGGACGGGGCCATTACCCCCACTTGCCATACCCAATTGCTTACACGGCAAGGGTCGCTGATATTCGGCCATATCCTTTGACGCCTCTATTTTTCTGCATAGGTATGAATAAAATGCAACACAATTAACTCTCTTTTTTATGGAGAGGGAGAGCGGGTGGAGTAATGATGAACTCGTACATTTTTTATTTGTTAGTTACTCGCGTAATGAACAGCGTATTGCAACGATACGTTCATCCCTCCCCCCCCCCCAAGTTAATGAATGTTATACCTAACTACTCAAACATTTTCGTGACCCCAGTGACATTGTCATTGAGTTTTTGAAATTTGAATGACTTTCACTCGGTAACTTTCTCTCCGGCTCGGCCGGCGGACAAAACGCAAGCGAAGACAATGCGGGGAGTCCGGTGCGCTACCAACTGAGCTACGGAACAGGCAAATGCTCACCATAGATATACCGACTGAACGATCCCTTTATAACTTCAGCGATTGATAAGACAAACAGTGTGTAACTGTATATATAAAATGGAAGTCTCGAAATTGCGATGTCTTTGACCTGACCAAAGGTATAAGGACAATTTTGCGACCCTTTCATTAGGTATAATGAAATGGGAGGAAATAAGGGCATGTGCCTCTTTTTATAGGTAGACAAATGTCAAAGTTAACGAATTTAAACATCACATAAGAAAACAATTAAAAATGACACACTTAATCGGAAAATTGCCACCCACGACCCCTCGTTATGTCCTTGAGGTAATGTCAGGTCATGGAAGGCCTCCAGCAGTTTTTTCAATAACTTCTGATAGAGACATGCGATATGCCTGAGCGATGAAAACACCTTAGATGATTTCAGTTTGGCGATACAAATCGACTGATATGCAACATGACCTTTACCAGTCAGGTAATGCCCTGGACCTGAGCGCTAATTTCCCAAATGACATTTGAATGTCAAATAATAGTTCATTCGACGCATCTCGACGAGAGGAGCACAGTACTAAAAAAAAAAACAATGTCATAACTTTCATGAGTCAATA